TAGCCAAGCCACAGGAGAGATATGGTTACTGTTAACTAAGAGAGGATTTTGTGACAAAAGATCTATTTTCACTAGGTTTTATATATCAAACATCTTAGATGAAACATAAAACAACGAAAAGATTCACCTCTTGAATTCCCCCTCCATCCAAGCTGACCCTCAGACCCTTAGATTCGTACCCCAATTCCTGTTCTCCACTGACAAACCCAGCAAGGGAAGGAATAGTACCACAGTCTTCCCCAGCGCTAAGATGCATCTGCTACACTGCAGAAATACGAAAATAGCAAGTTCTTCTACCAGGAACAGATCTGACACTTCTGTTTCCTGCTGGATAGTCAGGTGGCATAAAGGCGGCGATGGCACCGACCAGGCTGGGCGTACCGCAGACCGCACAAGCCACGGGTGCCACCTCAGCAACCACTTGCGTGAGCGCAGGAGCCTAAAGGCACCTGCACGGTTTCCCTTGGTACCGACTTGGGGATTTAACTGGCAGATTTTTGAGGCTGGGCATAAACAGACTGTTACTTTCTAAGCCCGTTTAACTGAGATGTCTAAGCTAGGAGCCTATACTTTCTAAAAAGTCAACAGAGAGAGGTAAAACCTTCCAGGACACTTCACACCCATAACTGCTCCCAAGCCTTCAGTGCTCTGAGCCACCATTCGGAGGGAGCTTTCTCTCTCTCCCAACAACAGAAAGAGCTTCCTCTTCCAGCACAGAAACCCAAAGCTGCACACACAGCTCTAGCTTTTGGTTCCTTTAAAACTATGTAAAAAGATCTATTTTCACCAGGAAAAAAAAAAAAAAAACCAACAAACCCCACTCCTGATTTCCCTTCTGAGCCTTATTTCATCCCCTAAGCGTTCTGAAAGATCACACAGAAAGAGACATGTATTCGAAACGAGATGCTGCCAAAACACAGTGAGCTGGCGGTGATTTGCTTTCTGGTTGTCCACAGCACTCTTCATCCTAACCGAGCTGCTCAGACAGCAGACTAATGAATTCTGAACAAAAGCTGCTAAAACAATAAATGAAATTTTCCAGAAATACAAAACCTTAATTGATTTTCCTTAATTTTACCTTATATATTAAAATACCTTATTTCCATGCGTTGAAGTTAGTGGGTGGCTACACTGCCCTACGAAACACAAGCAGAACACAAATCCCATTTGAAAGGAAAAAGGAAAATCCACTGTGGTGAAAAGGGAAAGACAAAAACATGAAGAAATTCTACAATGTCTTCAAAAGAGGAAAAAAGCAAGAAGCAGGTATGTCTATACAGCTGGTTTTACCTCCGTGTACCTACTCCATTCCTCAGCAATTCAATATCCTGCCTCCACAAAAGTTGTCGTCCGGGAGCAGTGCAATACTACGGGACACGCTACCAAGAATGGCCCAGATCAGTTACAGCCTGACTCAGTTCCAGCTGGAGCCACGGGAAATCCTGGCGATAGGAATGGCCAACAAACTGCTAGAGCTGGAATCGGGGAAAATGTAACAAGTCACCAGCACCATCCAGCAAGGGACAGAAAGGATGGCCACCTGGGCAGGAAGATTCTTTGCTCCTCTTCAAGAATAGCAGCAGCTAGAGTGAGAGAGAGGGAAATACAGAAAGTCTTGATCTCGGTTTGATTGAAAGTCAGTGCAAATAAATCAACAAAGCTCAGGCAATATTCCGAATTCCACGCGCTCTACAGCTGAGCCTCACAAGCTGTGGCTTGTGGCTCTGCTGTTGAAGATTTTTCTTCAACTTCTCTGCTGCTGCTTCTTCATGAATATACATCCGCAGCCACACCAGCTACTCGCCTACAGCCCTGTGCTTCAGCCTTCTCTTACCACTTTATTCACCCGTATTATGTGCCAATCAAAACAACAAATGCATGCAGATTCTTATTCCCTCTACTTTCAGTATCTGGGGTTTTTTCCCCCCCTTTAAGGCAGCATCTTTTATTTCCATGTGAACAACTGCTGTGCAACATTATCAAGTCTTCCCTCTGCTTCTTCAATTTGTTTTGGTTTAGGGGAGGTGGTTGTATTGCGTATTTGCAGCTAATAATAAAAATAATAAAAAATCTCTACAGTCACCAGAAACTTACTCAAATCAGAAAAAGCCAGCACTGCAGGATGTTTCTTTATAGCTAATCTGCTTGTACATTTCACAGAAGGATAAATTCACCTGGCTTTAGGATGTTTACAGTGGGACCTCAACAGTTTACTTAGAAAATGTTGCAAATGGGAATTTTTCTCTCCCCCAGCTTCACATACAGTACTTGCCTATACACTAAATTACGTGTGTCTAGTTAAATCGAGGTGATGGTACAAAAGACTTGGAGCGATCAGCTAATGTTTTGAGAGCTTTACGATGATGCGAAAGGCAAGAGCCACCACCGAGGTCTACGATTCGCTTGGTAAAATTCTCAGTGACATGCGTGGCCGTTGTTGGTATGATATCAGCAAGTACCACATCTGCTGAAACACGCCAGACTGAAAACACTTCAGGTTTTACTCCATATACTACGATTTGGATTGGAAATGAAAATTTGCCTGAAATATTTCTACTAAACGCGTTACACCAATATTAATGCCTCTAGTGCATTTGCCTTCCTGCAGCCCTAAGACAAAGAGTATAACTAGGTCTTTGGGACAAGGGTTTGGTTCCTGCAAAGCGGCGCTCGTCCCTTAGACACCCTAGCCCTGCTTAGCTCGTACAACTGCTCCTAAGAAATGTGAGTCTCTCTAAGGGCAGTTAAGGATCATCTGCTTGTAAAAGCAACGTCCAGTGAGGAACCAGAAAGCATACCGTGTGAATCAGGGCCAATAACTGTGTCCCAATGTTGAACAAAGAATACTTCAAACCTATTTGCTCTGAACAGATATGCTTTCTCAAAAGACTTATAATAAAGTACACTGAGATTTTTGGAAGCTGGAACGAGACTTGGAAGCCCAAATCTCATTACATTTCATTCCTTCAAAAATCTCATCCTTCACCATCATGGTGAACATACAAACACAGCTGTAAACACCAAGAACTCCTTCTAGATTGTTTGGTAGTTAAAGTCAGCTTAAATCTGTTTAATAAAAAAAGCTGTAAACAAAATTCAAGAAGCTATATTTTGTCTATCCCTGTACATCATTTGTGTCACCTCCCATTTGTGACCCTGCTCTGCAGTATGCTATTCCAAATTAAACAACTTGCATGCTGCACCTCTGGCCCACAGACACTGCAAGTACAGCCGGCAGGCACGATTCTATCGAAAAGAGCTTCAGTTCAGAGAAAAGTTAGGGTAATATTCACATTCTCCAATTCACAGTGGTAACGGTTTCCCTGCTCGCTGTTCTTCAGTGGAATGTAGGGAGTAATGCTTGAACCATCTGAACTTCCCCTACAGAGAAAACCTAATGCAACTCTCCGAGTAGCAGGGGAATGGCAGAGCACCACCTGTTGAAGGCTTTCAGTATTTGAATATACTAGCCATTGAATTTACCTCTTCAGACTAAATTAAATTTACAGCTGTATACTCTGTTCCTGAAAGACTTCCTCTCTGCCTTTGCCCGCTCCCTTGTCGTTAAAATCTCGTGGGCTTTTTTCTTTTTCCAGTGGCGGTGAGGAGGGGTGTGCAGCAGGCATATTATTTGTGAAATCATCTGATTAATCTTTACCAGAAGTCACACAGCAACGCATCCCTGTTACGTGAATATCTTTGCATACCAGTTACAGCCTGATAGTAAAGATACTGTTCCTTAGCTATGTGTGCATATATATTCAATTTATCTAACAGACTTGATTGGAGAGGTTAAAAAAAAGGCCTGATGTTCAACAAATATGCACAATATTCTGGAAGGAAGAAGTCGCACAAAAAGTGTTGATCCTTCACTGTGTATGCAAATAAATCGTATTGCGCTCCTCACTGATTACACTGAACGTATGGCTGTCGGTGTTTGATGCTGTATTAACAGCTTTAATAATATTAATATACAATTAATTCGCTATCACTACTACGCTATGAACAAAGAAGTACAGTGGGGTGGGATCTGGTTTGGGAAGTGAAGGAATGAAAGAAATACTATACAGCCCTGAGTAATCACCAGCACGGGGCAGATGCAGACTGACGCACACGTTAGGCCTCAAGGTCACTATAAAGTCCACAGCTCCGTAGTAAGTGCCATATAGCGGTATCTAAAAATATATACTCTGGGTTAGGCAGCTGTGAAATTCCTGACGAGATGACTGCAGACTTTTCAATGAGCTTGGTTTGTAATGGTAAGGGCACGTGAAAGAGAAGAAAAGCGTTTGTGCAGGAACGCTAGCCAGTACCCAGGGGGCTTCCTTTTGGTACACAGCAGTTCACATGTTTGGGCCTAGAGCCGTCCCAGTTATGGTCTAGCAGTCTAGAACAAACAGATTAACTTTGTGCTAACATACTGTATTCACTTATTAAGGTCCCAGGCTTTGGGGATTTTTAAATTTTTATTTGGCTTTGGAAATGATTATGAAGCTAAAATATATTTTTGAAAGTCTAGCCTTTTGTTCCCATCTAGAGACTTACTTTCAAAACTGTGCAAATGCATTCCTAATTCTTTTCGTCTGTGTCATACTACATGCATACCATATTGCTTATCCAGTACTAGCAAATCATTAAACATTTGTAAGGACAAAAGTACATTGAATGATATTCAGCAACATAAATTAGAATAATCGAAATAGGAAAATAATTAGATACAAAACAGCATAGTTGCCAACATATATTGGGGCTATTTCAGTACAGCTTGCCATTTATATATAAAGCATACATAAATGGCTATTTTTTATCCTTTTCAACAAGACATATTTTAAAAGGATAGTTAAGAGCATACTAGTTTACCTATTCATGTACAAAAGTACACTGGGAAAGGGAGAGGTTTACATATCATTTACCATAGCAGGATACTGTTAAAGGAGAAATTCTCCCTCTAAGATGGTGGCAACTGTTTTTTCCCTATAGATAACGTGTTCATGGAAAATTTAAACATCTGATTCAATGCTAGGCATTTTCTTATACACGCGTCTATTGCTACAGGAATTTAAAACCCTTGGAGTTGAGTACAAGCTATTCCTATTGGCAACGTAAGGCAAAACATGCTCTGAAATGTACATGTCATTACGGATCTGACCATCCCTGGAACAGTATGATGCTGTAGACTTTATGGATGACCTTAAATAATTGTCATTTCTTCCTCTTGTGGGCAATGAAAGTTTATAGAGATCAGCTGGACTTCGCCTAAGAGACAAGTGCTGGTCATCACGACACGAGTGCAGAAAGGGGTTATCGTCTGAGTGCAGAGGATACAGGGACTTGCTCCGCTTACTGTCCTCTAGAGCAGGAGTTAAAAGTGAGGCCTTGTTGCTCAACAGTTTGCTTGAGGGAACACTAAACATGCTTGCATATGGACTACTTTGTAGAAATTTCTCTCTCTCTTTCAAGCTTATACTACGAGAAGGTCTTCCAATATCAAGTTCCCTGGACTTATCAGCGATATTATCAAAAGAATGTTGCCTGCTAATCCTCAACTTATTTTTTTTATGATATTGCAGAGCATTATTTTGTGACCAACTGTGCCCATATATTTCTTCAGGAAGTGATAAGTTCGTCGTGTCCTGCAGCATCTGATCTTCTTCGATATCATAGAGGTTCCCCATCCGCAAGCAGGCGTCGCATTTATAGGGAGATCTGCTCGAATAGTGTCCCGCATAAGTGGGCAGATTGGAAAGGCAGCTCCTGCAGTGGGTGGAGTTCTGTCTGTATCTGTCGTTCGCGTCAACTAGGGAAGCATTTTTATCTTTTGAAGTGTAGTGCTTTGCATAAAGTTTATACTGGTCATTGTTTGGAAGACTGTCTTCATTATGCAAGGGAGCCCTGTTAGCATGTTCTGCTTTCCTGTAGTTGTCGTTGTGGTCTTGGTAAACATCAGGAAACTCTATTGTTTCTGGAAGGACAATGTTTTCGATGTACTGAGGTGTGTCCAAGCGGAATCCGGGCTCCTTGTCAGCATCAATCGTGTAGATTTTCTCCCGTGGAGAGCTCTGTTTGGTTTTCAGATATGTCAGTTCCACTTCACTACAGTCTTTTGGGTATTTCGATGCTGCTGTCCTTTTTTTAAAATTGTCCTTGGTTTTGTGGTGCTTGTTGTTGTTTTCAGGTTCCATGTGGCAAGTAGCTCGGCTTGATGTCTCTGACACATCTGAATGGACAATCTCTTCAGGAAGGTATCTTTGGCTTTTCACTGAAAGCTGCCTGTTTTCATCTGACCCGTTTTCTCTCTGGGAACCTTGGCTCTGACGTACAGACTCTTGACGTAAAGATTCAACAGATTTCCTCCAAAGCTGCCTGGGTCTGGAGTTCGTTTTCGCTTCTGCTGTTACTGCAACCTCTACTGTGTTTGGATTGGACTCATTCAGCGTGAGAGGATGCTGACCTTGGAAAACATAGTTGTTAAGATTGTCCTTGTGTCGATTGCCAGGAAGCGTCTGGAGTTCACTCACGTTGTCACCAAAAAAGTTGGATCTGTTATCAGAAAATATCAAGTTTCCCTTATCCATGACCATGTCCATAATCAAGGAACCCCTCTGAATAAAATCAGCTGTTCTTTTGGGGGAGTTAATTCTTGAAGGATTGATATTGGTCATATTTTTTGCTGTTCGCAGTAGTTTTAACATGTTGGTTTGGGAATTGGTCAAAGTAAAGTCAGGAGACTTCTTTTTTTCTTCAATGTGTACTCCATGAATGCAGCTGTAAATACCCTGTAATATGAGTAATATAAAATTAATTAAATCACTAGGTGTAAATTTTAAATACTCCCATTCTATTTTTATTTAGCAATAAAGAAAAATTAAACATTGCTTATCTAATGACTGGAAAGATCAAAAGTACATATCTATACTTTTAGCATTTCCTTACATTGATAAGGAAGAATAATTTCTGTCATATCTGTTGGAATCATAAAGGAGAAAAATTGCCAGTATTTTACAAACCAATGGTCTGTGTTGGCCTCCCCTCCCTTACTTATTCCAGAAAACAAGATTAGAAGGGACCCCAGAAGGTTCCCTAGTCTCATCACACAATGTAACTAACCTTTAGGCAACTCTATTATTTTACACCGGTGACTAAGTTACCCCTCTAAACAACCCTGCAGTCAGGCCATTTTCTTGGAAGTCAAGGTACTCTTCACTCCCACTGAAATAAGAAGGCTTCTAGTCATTGTAGTTTAGCTTTTCTGTTTCCTATCCTAGTACATATTAGAAAAATCCCAGCTCTTTCTACAGCCTGAATTTGAGTTCATTCTGAGCCAAAGGCTGCAGCCCATCTTCTAACTCCAACCTCTTTTGTCAATCCTGTGAGCTCAAGTGACATTTCCAACCCTGTGAACTTGTAATTTGCAGAAATCTGCCTTTCAAATAGGTCCTCTTCTCCCCCTGCATTGGTTAGGAGAATTTCACACGCAAAAGGCCACAAGCAGAAAATTCAAAATGTGGAGGTTAAAGCGTATATGCTTTTTTAGACAATCCCCAAGAGGGTAGAGCAGAGTATTTTTAACGCGGTCCCAACAGAGTCCAATTTACTCAACAGGGTAATTTCAGCACATTTGAAAGCAATTAGACATTTTAGTACCATTTTCAATTCTCCTCAGCTATATAAAAAATCCAGCAAAATCAACAACCTAATGAAAGTACTATGTGTTTAAAAAGGAAAAAGACAGACAAAACCCAACTAATTTGCCAAAAATACAAGAACACACTTCCCTTATTTCATTACCAGTATCAGTTATTCAGATATGTAAACACCCAAACTTCGGGTTTGGTAAACTCATCATTAAAACCTGTCTTAGTGTCTAACCAAACATAACTGATACTTGAGTTTGACCTTTTTTTCATATGGTTTATTCAAGTCTGCTATCAAGAAAAGCTTATAAAAATATGCCAGTATATATTCCAGTGTATTTTTATCACTGAAAATCCACTTGTTTAAGAAATACACAAAACTGAGAGCTAATGTCTGTCATGACTTTAGTATTTATTTTGTTTGGATTTTTTTGCGGAAATTCATCCATTTGCTGCATCTGAGCACCTCTACCACTTCTTCACCCAGACGTCCCCTAAACACATTTGTTTTCAGCATTGGATTACTGATTATCCTGGCACACGCTACTTCATACCCTGGAATAATCCAACGGAGAAAAGGCTTCCCACGGCGTGCAAGCACATCCCAGGCCCACTGACTACTCTAGAGCGTCACACTGATGCTCTACCATGTGTTTCAAATGTCCGGGTGGGAATAAAAGGACAGGTAATGTTTTAGGGAGGTAGCATTTACTTTGTCTGTTGCCTGAAGGGGGAAAATGAAAGTAGTACTAACCCTACTGATTGAGAACAGCAATCCCGGCCTATCTGAGCAGACTCCAGTGAAGCAGAATCTCAGTTTCCAGTAAAATAAGTGCTCCCAGACAAAGGTTATTAAACTGAGCGCCATGGCTGCTGCCAGCATATAAAACACTCCTGCCATGTTGTCGATGTCCAGCTGGCTGCTCATGACTTCGTTCTTCTCATTGTGGCAAATCCCAGTCAGCCACAGGGTTTCTAACTCTTCCATTTCCCCTAGGGAGAGCAAAGAGTCAAACCAGTTAGAATGCAAAAAGTCACTGCTCCCAGTATTCAAAAGTCTTGGCAAGTTTAAAAACGCAGCACCATTTAACGTTTGTTTGTGGAGTACTTTAGTCTTACCTCCTTGGGATTTGCAAATATAGCAGATTTCAACTCACAGCGCCGTGGTTTCAGATGTCCTCAGATTCCATACATGGCATGGGAAGCTGGCTGCTCTAGAAAGCAGGATTTGTGATTTGGGTAAAACTTCCTTCTGCGTGCTGCGACTAGAACCGCTCGTTACAGCCAGCGGAATTGGAGGTTCCCATCCCAGCCCCGTCCACGAGAGCTGCATTCAGGGCACGCCCGGAGGGTCCCCCTGTCCCCATCACACGGGTGCCACCGGAGCTGCTCCCACCCACAGGTCCGGCTGGCAGCACGCCCGCCGATCACACGCAGACCCTCGCAGACGGCAGCGGCCTCGGGACCCACAAACGCAGCTAAAGACAGCCCGACCTGCACGCTGCCACCCGTGTGATTCACAAACACCCCAGTATATACAGAAATATATATGTGTATATAGATATATACACCCCTCGCATGCTGGCATGGGCCAAGTCCGTGCCCAGACCCTATACGCCCCTCACCCAGGCACCGGCTTGGAGCTCGGGTCTCTCCAGAAGTCCCCTAACAAATCTCATCTGCTCCCCCCAGCCATGAACACCTAGCGGAAAGTGAGCTCACATTGCAGCCGGCTAGGAGCTGAGTTCAGTGAAGAGCTGGGACAGGCTGTAGCCACCAGACTTGGTCAGACAGGCATCCTGACACACAGCCAGACCCTGCCATGCCTCCTCCTCTCCACTTTCCCACGTCTGATCCTCCGACCCCTGCCTTTGGCCCTTCGCTTAAACATCGCAAAATAAATCTCACACATTCTCGCAATCCCTTTAAACCACACCAGAAGAAGTTTGTTCTTTCCTGTGAGACTCCGGGTAACCCCATTCCTCCTTTTTGGAGAAGTTGCAGGGTTCTGGCTGAACCTCTCCTGACGTGTCTGTTCTCTGCTATCATCTCTGGTATCTCCTGTTCCCTAGGGCTGGGGGATCTGGGGATTTGATTTGTCGCTGTCCTTGCCTCTTGTTCTATTTTTTCTGTTGAACAGCAACTAACCAGATAACCTTACAACCCAGGTATCTACAGACACTTTGCATCCACACATCCCTTCCATATTCTTACTCCAGCCTCCCAGCCCGAGAAGATGTTTTTGCAGGTTAAAAGACAGACCACCCAAAGATTAAACAGCAAGTTTAAAAACCCAGCATGAGCAGCAGCACCCAGGCCGTGCCGTCGGCCGCCCCTGAAACTGCCCGGGCCACTGCTGCCGTAGCCGTTCGTCACATCTCCCCTCGCAGCTGGCTGCACTGCTGTCATAGGGGAACCGAGTCCGAGATGCAGCTTTGAACCGCTTTCTGATCTACAAGCACTTTAGAAATTGAAAACATTCTTTATGACAACTTTCTGGGTTTGTCCCCGGTACTGCTTCTATTTATGGCAGTGACAATCAGCAATGCCAGATGCAAGAGCACTCAACGCATCACGTCTGGAGCTTGTAGGAATTTTACACCGGGAATGGAAACCCTGACTAGCTTTACCCGGATACACACAGAGCAAGTGAGGAAAAATAGTTGTATATGATGCTGTATTAAGAAAGTCTATTGTGTTTCACACACCACTTGCTTTTCTGTAGAAAATAACTGTCACTTAATGCCTGCATACCTGTAGGAATACAGGATGGCCCTTTTCCTGTTTAAGTTTCTTTTTTTTTTTTAATTTTTACGTAATTAGCAGTAGCTTTCAAATACAGCTCTTCTCCCGGCTTTGTCTCTTTTCACTTTGTGTTCTCCCCCGGAGATATGGGTGACGCAGTAACTGCAAGCCCTTCCCACATCACGCACCCCTGGCATCACCCACCCTTGCTCCTCGCCGTCTCCTCTGGCCTTTCACTGCCACCACTGCCTGCCTCCTGCGCAGGGGCAGAGCCACCAACGGCATCGCCACGTGCCTGAAACCGAGCGGTCCTGGTTTCTGTTTCCAGCCACGCCACGTCCCCACTGCCACGGGAACCCTTCACCTCCTCGCAGCGGGGAACCACTGCCAGCACGGACAGAGGTGTGCAAGCAACTCTCACGGCTCCTGCCAAGAGTTTTTCTTGCCAGATATATTACTTTTCAAACGTTTAGTGTTGTTCTCACTGAAGCACTGCACTTGCCTACGTGCCTCTTTCTCGGGGATAGAGTCAGCTGAGTAACCCTATTCTAATTTTTCACGACAAACATCACTGTTTCTAGAAAATCCAGGAGGCAATACAGAGGGCCAATATAGCATCAGCTGCTTTGGCGTGTTCCCCAGTTTAGGACATGGCTTCAGTTTAGGGGAAGAATTCCCATGCTACAGATCCCTGATCCCTACCCAGTGATTAGGGAATACATTTTCAGTATTATAATCCAGACGTCACCTGAGTAAAGATCAGAAAAAAATGGCTATATTGACATTTCAGCTACCTTCAAGCTAGAAGAGCAGACTGACGAGCTACTGCGCAGGGCCAGCGCCAGGGCAAGAGGAAAGCTGCGGCCCGCTGACAACCTGGATGTGCCAGCTGGAAGCTGAACACAAGACTGCGATGGAGAAATTGCTTCTCACCAAACGCGAAGGAAAAATTGAAGTAGAAAGGACAAGTACTGAGGTGCTTTAGCAAAGGCATTTGACAAATTCGTAAGAGAGATTATTCAGTTGCTAGTTAATTCTGAGTTTAGTTTTGGGCTTAAAGCATGAGCCGGACCTCCACATCTGAAAAAGGCAGCGCATCTTCTCCCAAATTACAATGCTCCATCTTCAAATTACCTAAGAGCATCCCCTAAGCAGAAAGTCGGTCCGAATGAATCTTTAAAAGTCTTCTAATACAGGACACAGAGACAATAAATTATTAATTGTAACAGTATAGATATGGCACACTGTCGCTACATAGATAATTAGGGTTCATTATTGCATTTCCATATCTTGTAACATCTGGATTTCTTGTTGTTCTGCTAAAGCTCAACGGCCTGTTCCCCTCTTCTCTCTCTCCAGCCCTCCCCAAGGTCCATGGATAAAACTCACAGAGCTATGGAAGAGCAAAGCACCCCAGTCCGAAGGGAGAGGGATGTTTCTGGTTTGTGCATTAGCAGCCGAAGCGCTGACAACCAGCCCTCATTGCTTCCCACAGGAAAATTCCCCTCTCCCAAGACTGTCAAACAGCAATTTGATTTGGCTGCTGTGCCCTTTTATGATTCATCACAAAACTCACAAAGGAATTCAAGCCTCTTTTTTATTACTGTTTCCTCTGCGTCTCTTCCCTTTGGCACATACATCTAAAGCGACTATTGACTATTCCAAAAACGTTGCTCCTGACACCAGCCAAGCTCCTTTCCAGTCGAGATAAACGACGGCGCCCTGGCAAGCTACCCAGAACAAAGCATCCCAGAGTCGCGCAGACCCTGCTGGTGCCACATCCCTACCATTATAGCCGGCAATGCCAGAAATCACTCTTAATTAATACCCAAAAGTAATCCACAATTTTATAGATTGCAAAGCACTGTGAGTCATTCCATTGTCGTGCTTCTGAAATTGTATTATCTGGGAATGGGCAGTTTCGGCTGGTAACTCTGGTCCATACAGAGCAATCAGTTACATTTCAGTACATCTGCACATATGTGTGGGTGTGTGCACACAGAGACACAGACAAAACCGCTGCCAGCGGGACTGTAACAACACTTCAGCACAGCTGCCCCTATAGAACTGCCAAAACTGCACAACCTATTTATTACTCCTCCTGCCCATCACATTTTACCCAAGATATTTACAGAAGGCATAACATTTTTATCACAGAATCCTCAGGTATGAGGGATTTTTTAACTGGGGTGTCAACTCATTCCTTACAAACATCAGCCACTTCCAGACTTGGCCTGGAGTTGGAATTCCAAACACTGAACTTTGAGGCCAGTTAAACTTTGGTTCAGAAAAAAAAATTCAAAGAATCAAGTCCTTTTGGAGGAAGGTTGTTGCCTTTCACACCCCTCTGGGTGGTCTAACTTGTGAGGTGAACGTGTAGGGTGATGACACCCATAGCAATATGGGCAACTGGAAGGCCAGTAATTTGTGGTTACCAGGCCTCAGGGAGTCCATCCGTCTCCTCGGGTGCATAACTGGCAAGAAAGAGCTCCCAGTATTCCATAAGACAGACCTTGGAAATCCAAGGCAGCAACCTCAATCTATGCCAATGCCAGGCCTCAGCAAACCAAGTGATAACGGAGTTCAACTCTGCATCTAATGGGGGGGGGTCTCAAATTACTTATAAATATTAATGAGACTTCTTTTAAGGCTTTTTGTTTTCACTTCAGGCACTTACTAAAAGTAACGTAATGCCACAATCATTTTCTACCTCCATCCTTGTGCGGACTAGATTAACGATTAAAGGAACTGTTGCAGACTTCAGCTATGAGGTAGATCATGACACTGGCAGAAGATTAGAAAATGAAGAGCTCCAACATATTTGACCAAAAAAAAAAGTTTCTGTTCTGTTCAATATCTTCACAGTATCTATGCTCCTCCAGCGCATCTGACACCTGATCACGCTGGGAAGGGGCGACAAACTGTCCAGTGGGCCCTCTGAAATTTTTTTTCTCCCTGAAAACATGATCACGCAGACCCAGCGCAGGTCCAGCCCGCAGGGCAGCAGGGCACACCTTCCCTCTCCCCAGCCCGGCGCAGTTTCTGCAGGCTGTGGTGGGTGTCATCCACCCCGCCACCGTCCTCTCGGAGCCAACAAACATGCTGCCCTTCTGCAGCCTCCATCGCTGTCCCCGGGAGACGCGGCAGCTCGCAGGGGTCCTCTTAGAGGGGTTACTGGTATCCCCCGATTCCCTTCATCCCCCAGGCCCAGCACCCTGTGAGGCTCCGGCGTCCTCCCTCCACCTGTC